AGCTTTACAAAGTGAATTTATGGTGGCTAACCCTGATTTTATGGACGAGACACCTCACGTACAACCCATGACACTCAGTTTAGATTACAGCATGGCGGCTAATTCAAATACGCGCGGGTTAGTTTAGCCATGGAGCGGCAAGCTCAGGCAACTCGTCCAAACCGCCCCCTCCTACTTCAAAGGAGAAGGGAGAGTGTCCTTGTGAGTGCTTCATCGGCGTTTTGATTTGCTTCTTTCTCCATTTTCAGTTAACGCGGCATCAATTTCATTATCGACTCTGAGCCCTCACAAATTTGATCTCGGGGTGTTGCTTCAAAGGAAGCGCGACTGGTTGTTATATGGGGCAAGGGTACCCCCCAGGAGGCCCGTCGCGCGACAAGAAGGCGAGTCAGCGGACGAGTTCCGCGCGTACTGTAGGGATTTCGCGTCAAGTTAAATAGAATGTTCCATTGTACGTCCTACATCGCTCACGCGCTGCGACTCGTCCGCGACTCTGCCTTCTTGCCGCGCGACGGGCCTCCTGGGGGTACCCGGGGCAACAGCACTATGCGTAATCAAAATAAACTCTCACTATGCGAAATCAAACTCTTGCCTGCCTCTGAGCCAGCGCAAGCGCTTCGTATGAGGCGCACTATCATCCCACATCGTGCACCTATCAACTTACTCCTTACCTTGATTGAAGAGCGCTGGTCTTCTTCCCAGACCGCAACTTAGCCTTGATTTTCTGCATGAACGACTGTTTCCGTTGTGGCTCCTCGATATCGTCGGTGCTGTCTGGAGTTACCGTAGTATGACACGTTTGTTCAGTGAGTTTGTCTGCAATCACAGCACAAATACCCACTTTCTTGATCAACCGAGTCAACAGCAGCGACTTCAAGTCGAATTCCTAGTTTCAGCGTACGAATCACGGATCCGTACAAAACCGTCATGGTCACCAACGGCACAGCCAACAACACGATTGTCATGTAGACCTGGAATTAATCGACATTTTTGCGCAATCGATAATTGATCGGTTCCATACCTGATTGGCGAAATGGTATACGGGTTTGTAGATCGGTGTACATGTGAGGCCGTTAACATTATAGGTTTGTTCCTCATACATAAACAACATGAGTACGTTTGCTGCCAACGCCACCACCCACACCAACATGATCATCGCGTACGCGTGTGACCTGAAAAAATCGATAATCTCGCGCGTCTCTTCGCGACTCCTGGCGACAGCACGCGCGCTCACCTGGTTTGCCATATTCGAGAGTGTAGCGGGCGACATATAGCGTAGTATCGTTCAAATGCAATCACCGCCAATGTGTATGCAGATGCCGTCACAACCATCGCTTCAAATTAAAATAATTAAATAAAATATTAAAAATTGAAATTATAATCAATATTAAAAACTACATATAGTCAGAGACAAAACTGATAAAACCAACGTTGTAGGTAAGCGAACACTTTGCAAAGAATGTTGCCGAAAATCCAACAGTTCATCACCATGGAAACTTAAAAGTTAGTTATTTTGACACCGATTAAGCACTGACTTTGCAAAAATCGATAAGGAATGCAAAAAATCAATAAATTAGTATGGACTCACAAAGTGTTGGCGGCATGCATACAACGGAAAGCATCAGATCAGTGATGGCTAGATTCATTAGATAGATGTTGGTGATCGATCGCATTGCTCGTTGCTGAAAAGGTAATCGATTATTGATCACGATTCCTGATTGATCTGAAGTGCTGGCACGTAGTGGAACAAGGAAAATCGATATATCGATCGTTACACACCTGCATAATGACCACAATGACGAGAGCATTACCGATGACTGATAGCAGGAAAATTGTGATGAACGTGAAAATCACTATGTAGTTCTCCGTTGTACCACGAAATCGACACGTTTCTTCAACGGTGAGGCTGGAAATATTGATTTTTTCGCAAAGTATAAACACCAGTTTGGCTGGCCAGTGGAAACAGCTCTGGAAGTCTTTTTGAACGCAATGCTGAATTTTGTCGGAATTTGGTTAAAACTATCGGTTGAAACGAAGGTGACAATATTGGCTGCGAAATGGGATACGAATATCTGCCTCGGATTTTGATTCGACGATTTCGGACAAGTCAAAGTCATTAAAGGGGATTTTTAATATTAGGTACCGGATATCTTAATGTCGTTTTTTCACCAAGAGTATTGGACCAGCAATATTTCAGTTCAAAACCCGGGGAGGGAGTTAGTTTAATCATAAAATGACTTACTAGGATCCCCTCATCTAACAGTTAGAGTGGCAACCTTGCACGATCCAAGCTCGGAATTTTTTGAGTTAAAAAGTAGAGGCAGGTCGGTTTTGACATCCTCTGATAAATCATCCCTGTTACTTGCTTAAAAGTAAGGCCTGGACAAAGTAAGTGTACAGCTGGTTAGCGTAGGGTCTGCATTGCACGACAGAAAAATTAGAACTTATCAGCCCTAGTGGGCAGTTTTTTACGGAGACTTTTTTGCAACATAGGGTCAAAAACGCACCCTTTTTGAGCGCGCGTGAGAGGCAGGTGAGCACATTTATCAGAATATCTTGCGGAATCAAATCCATAGGAATGTTTGCGCATCATCATTCCATCAGAGTGAAAGTATCCTACCATTTCAGCACAAGTCTGGTGCAGCCCCTTCTCAGCTGGCTTAACTAGGGCCATCTTTTTGAAGACGATTGCCGGCATCCTTTCAAAAACTTCACTGTCTTTTAGGAAACCTGAGGAGAACCGTTGAGCATTCCAAACGGTAGTATTCCTTCCAACAAAAGCAATGTTAGTTTGGTTGGCGGATCTGTAGCTCCCAGCCCGACTTTGATGGCATTTGGTACACACATACGAATTTGCGCAATGAACCCAGGAATTTTCAGAAAAAGGTATAAAAATTGGGGGAGAGATAAATTGTAAAGTAACAATAGGGACTAATAAGCAACATGTTACGTAGTATTAATAAGCAAAGAGAACGTTCTGAGAAACTGATTTTTCATGGTAATTGGCCCCGAAACATCCTGAACTCAGAAAAACGACATTAAGATATCCGGTACCTAATAGAACGTTCTATCGAAAAGTCCACTTTGCCTGGTCAGAATCAATATCACGCAATCTCATTGCGTCAAGAAATAAACAAATAAATAATTAAAGAATTAATTCCTCTTACGTCAGAATGTGGTCCCTGCTGGTTTTCGGGCTACTAATCATTATTTCATCCAGAGATCTTCGGCTGGACCTACGGCACTCGCCAAATGTCACATTACATCCACAGGATCCCCCGGCGCGCGGTTCTTGGACGAGTCGTGAAAAAATTCCCGGCTGTTTGCGCCGACATTACGTGATGATTGATAACTCTTCTTGAGAGTGACACTTCAGATCAGATCACTCCAACAAGATGTACAACCCCAGAATTCGCCAGCGACGTCAACTGCAGTCTCAATGGTCGCAATAAAAGAAGGACATGGCGTTGTGGCAAAGCCGCATTGCGTTTTCACAGCTCAGGGGATCTAATCCTGCGGCCTCGTAAGTGAGACGATCAACTCTCGATGAAAGTCTACTTGTTGAAAACTATTTGTGGGATAGTTTATCGGCCATGAATTAGAATTCACTGTGATGACCGAATTCGCATCCAAACGCTCAGACTGCTAGCACTGAAAGGCGAAAGCGATGCGCATGCGACCGAATCCGGCAACATGGGAAACGGCGCTATCGCAAGATATGGGGGCACTGTGGTGGCAATGCATTTAGGTTTGCGTAAAACATAGCTTTTTTATTGAGGAACTTATGGAACTAACGAAAACGGGACTAATCATAAGCCTTATAAGGGGGAGCGGATCTCCGAGGTGAGTGAGCGATTTCATTTCCCAAAATTTTTGCCACTTCCTATGCTCATCGTCAGTCCTAAAGGATGCTCGCGTACCTTGCGATAGCGTCTCATTCATAGGGTCATTTCAGCTATTTAATGTGCCTCTTTACCTGCCTATTATCCCAC